TATTGGCATACAAATGCACAATGCATGTGCTGGACGTCGGAATCGGAATATTAACATTGCCAAATTACAATAATCGCCGTTTCGTGGGAAGCGTAATCGTTAGGTACTACATAGCCTAGCAATTAACTAATACAATTTGCATATTATTCTCAATTTGTTTTAATTTTTGTTAATTAAATTGTGGTGTTGAGCGTGCGAGCCAGTTTCGAATACAAAAATTACTTCTTTACTATAGTAATTATCACATAGTAACAAAACGATTATACCTATTTTTGTCTAATTTATTAAATTAAACGTGTTAATCAATACCTACTCGTATATAGTTTACCCACCAACTTGAAACATTTTTTGGTGTTTTATTTATATTTCCAGTACATTTAATTTATCTTTGAGCCCTATTTCGGGCTCGTATCTTTTATCTGTAGTAAATTCCGGGCGTTCCGTTAATTTTATTTGCTTTACGTTTACGCGACCCTTTGAGCGACTCTAAATAACTGAGTTATGGACGAGTTATTTCCGGTTATCTCGTCTACGCGGTCAGACACTTGAATCCGGCCGCCCGGCCGACCGCAAACGCACGCATTACGATTGCCGCACTCGGAGAGACTGAAAAGGAGCCATTACAAGGGCTTAGACAACATCCACCCTACGTTTGATAGACCAAAGAGTTAACATTAGGCTGGACAAACGGCGGCGCAGGCGGTAAAAGTTGACGTTTCCAACTACATTCGCACGCGTTCGCTTGCAAAACGGCCTCGGGGTATTGCTTATCGAACCCATCACTTGGGGAATCTCAACACGCTTGATTGGAGATGTTTATCGTCTTTAAAGACGGAAACGCAGTGAATCATTAGGTGGAAAGGTAATTTGTCTGTTACTACCTTTTGCATACTCGTAACTAAGCTGTGTGTTTATGCACGAATTGTTGGCAAGTGAACAGAAATAAAGAAAATCTGTTTGTTGACTAACGAGACAGAAATGTATTCATAAATTAATTGTGCGGTTTCGAATTTCCGTTCACGTCGGCAGCATGTCATTTGCGTTGCATTTCTGCGTAGAAGAATCATTATTGCAATTCAACTAGTGAATCAACTGAATTAATAAACAAAAATTAATTTTCATTTTGTATCTTGAGGACGCCAGTGGTTTTCTTTATCTCCACAGCAGACATTCTTGTGTTTTGTGTGCCGTTGTCATGTGAGAATAGAAATAATTAATTCAATTACCATGGTAATGACAGTGCGTCGTGATAAATTTCGAAAGCTTCGCACGATTCCCATCTCGACACGTGTGTTCGCTACCTCATCGTCGATGTTGATAAAAATTCGATGCGACGTTAACATCTTCATTTTATTATCCTTTCTCTTGATTTGCTTATAAATGGACGAACGTTTTACATAAATTATTTGAAATCACGTCTTGTTTGATGCACATGAGCGTCCAATTAAAGAAAAGACTTTTGAGTTGTATATCTGATCGAATATGAAAAATTTATATTTAAAAAATATATAGCAATTTAGATTGTGTATGCTGATATTAATTAATTAATTAATTTTAATTAATAATTATGTATTATCTATGAAATTGAAAAACAAGCGCCATTAAATAAATTGCAATTAATCGAACGAGGCATGTGCGGCATGTGCGGTTTACGTCATACATCGATATAACAAATGTATGAGTATGGCGTGTGTTTATTGAATAAAGGTAATCAAAATTATTCAAAATATGTAATTTGAATATTTACGCATTATTATTCAACAAATTGAATCTACTTATCAATCTAATCTGTGGCCGCAATAATTTATAATATGTTCCACAGAAATTTATAAATTAGTTTTTATCTGTTACAATATTGGCTCTGTATTTAGATAAATTAAAACATTCAATAACCATGCGGAATAAACTTACATAAACTGAGCACAAAAGCGACGCCGAATGTAATCATGCACTTCAAACGCATTCGCAGTTGTAATTCATTTTACAACATTTATAACATTTATGTTTTATGATTCGCTTCGCTGTTTGCATCGGCCATCGGTAACTAAAGTTAGTGAATGAGTGAAAGCTTACACAACGCACGATCAACGATCCGGAGAATCAACAAATCTATTCTGGTTCTCGAACTTCGAGTTCAACATATTCGAAAAACCATAAACACACATACGTACACACATCAGCATTTTGTTGAATAGCATAATAAGCACAGCGTATGTAAATTTTGTAATAAATGCTCGTGAAAATATTCAGCGGGCAGATGAAAATTGGTGTCTAATTAAATTTGAACAATTTAAATTCGCTGCTTTCTTATCAGAGTAACTGTCAATCAAAGAACAAAATGTCATTTATCTGTAGTAGATGATCTTGCCAACTTACACTTGACTTAACTTTATATTAAATGGTTTCGACAACTTAATTGCTTCCAATCAAGTTATAGCTGCGAGTTCTCGACGATCCAAATCGAGTTAAGTCCGTAACGCGTGGATTTTTCACTTGCCGAGCTTTGAATAGCCGAAAAAATAACAAAAATAACAAATGACTCTCGTAAAACCGCCTAACCTTGCCGCTCACAAAACGCATTGGCCAAAGAGTCGGGTGTGTTACGCAAGGTAAAAAATTCTTGCATAACTAATTAAATAATTTATCAATTACTCACAGCTATTGAGTGAACTCTGCTCAAAACCGAACAGAATTTGATGCTTGTTGCGGTGCTGTAAACACGCATTTTTCTACGCAGACACGTGACATATGTTCGGCCATCTTGTGCAACAATGTGCTCATTTAACTCTTTCAACTACTTGATATTTATTAGTTTTGGACGCGTTAAAGGCTTTTCCACGTGTGTGTTCGGATAGGTAGAAGCATAAATGAGCAATCAATGATGATGAATAGAAATTTGTTCGTAATGAACTCGTAAATCATCGAAATTACCGTCGGCCAAGCTGATGCTCGTAAATATGGCTAAATTATGATTTTCTACCTTCGTTTTTACAACCTACACTCACTACTTCAATTTGTGCACAATTTTAAACTTCTGGTGGAATAAATAACTTTATTTTCGAGAAAATTTTCTCGAAAATAAAATAAAATCAATAAAAGTGGAGATATCTTGTTGGGCATGGCGAATCTGTTGACTTTGTGCTTCGGTTGACATAGACATGGATTTATACATAGGCCTACAGCCGTAAAATTTTATGGGACACATTATTAAACAGAAGGCTCTCCTATGCCTTTCGTCTGCTACACGCGCAAAGGAGGATAATTTTAGAAAGTTTTATTTTACTACTCAACAAGTTGCATTCGAAAATATATGCGTTATTTATTTGGATGATTCGAATGAATCAAATGTAACGTGTCAACATGGATCAGCATTCTACGTGTTCACGTCTAATGCAGTTAACTCGGACTTTATTTGGAAATCATTTTTCATAAAAAGCCAATTAAAAATTTTCGTGCGTAGATTTACTAGGCTCATTTTCAGCGCGCAAAACGTTGTACGCAGGAGGGCGCCGTTTTTGTTCGCTGGTGCTTTCATCACTCTTCATTCTCAGTTCGTTTGCTTCGTGTGGTAATTTGTAACTTGTAATTGAATAAAAGCGCCGTTCCTCATCTTTTGCCTTTCGCCGGCATCGTCGGGGCATCGCAGCACCGATTTCATTAACACTTTACTTATTATTCATGTTCATCGGACGCGCTTATAGAATTGAACGCGGAGTAAATGTCAGACGAGACGGGCGCAATCGCACAGTCCGAACAATGAATTATTACATATCCGTAGGTGGTGTGGTCTTTAATCTTCTCAAGAAGAATTGAATTTGTCTCATCTTATTCTCATTTCAAAGAAGGTGTGTAAAAAATTGTATATTTTTATTTAAATTGGCAAACAAAGGACAAAAAAACACCAGCTACTAATTAGAATGAATGGACAATTAATTGGAAAACTTGAGCAGTTAATTGCAAAAAGTCTGCAAGCCTCTTTTATCTTTTGTTGTCGCAACAACAAAACTTTTTCAATTATCTTTCTAGATAGCCATTATAAACTTAAAATCCCTACCTACCTTACTATACAGGGAAAACAATTAACATAATAATATTTTATCAGAAAACAGCGTAAAAAAGAAAACTTTATGTACAGGTGATGAAAAGAAAAGATAAATGATAAAGTTGTGGGCTGTCAGCTGTAAATTGAGATGGTAAAAATAAAAAAAAAACGTTGTGATGCTACCAGACCATGCGAAGCGACTTGTTGACTGGCTCGCAACTCGTAAAATTTATGTATCAATTCCAATTGCAATTGGAAATGCAATTTTCTTAAACGCTCACCAATGCCGACGCATACATTGCACGCCTACATGCAAAGGCATTTGCTTTCATTGCATTCACAATGTAGACGATGCAATGAGAGGCGTAGGGCATGAATTACATTCCTATAATAAATTCAAGATTTTGAATAACTTGTACGATTGGACTTTTGTTATCAAGTACTGAAATATTTTTTAATTGGAGTTTATTTGTATATTTAATCAATAGTTAAACCAAACCTACTTTTTTGCGGTTCTATTCGCGGAGAGTTAACTAATCGATATGAAGTGGCATTAAAAATTTAAATGTATTTATAAGGGTAATTTTGGTAGGCAACCAATTATACTCGTGCGAGATTTACCCTGTTGGGCCTGTAGTCTGCACCTTCAACTATTTAATGACTCATGCGATGCTTCGATAATGCGTTCCTGTTGCATGAAGTCGCATTCATCATTTGATAGCAGTGCATGTGCATGTGCACACTAGAGCAGATCGAATTCGCGTAGACTGTGACTGCGGCGTTCTCGCTTTCCGCTAGTCGCGCGCGCCGCGTGCTTTCTCCTTTCTCCATCCCATCCGCGGCGCTGCGTGCTATGGGCTGTGCGCCGTGCTCTCTACAGAGTGTTTTAAATACTAAAAGGGAAGCGCGTCGTACGGGCGAGCTGGCATACCGCGAGCATCCGTACGGCGCAGCGTCGAAGACGCCTGTGCCTGAGTCGGCGAGCGCGAACGCCAGCGCGCAGTGTAACCGCGTACAGCCCGCACGTAGCTTCGCCGCGCCGCTACCGCACGCACCAGCCGAACGCACGTCGAGCCCGCACCCGCAGAATCCCTCACAGGGTAGCAGCGAGAGGCGCGTAGCGACACACCCCTGCCGGACGCGTCGCGATTATCAATTGTCCGCTGTTTCATACTATAGATATAATACAGCAGCGGTGCCGGCGCGTGTGAGACTCCATCGGCTCGTCTGACCTATGAGCTCGATCCTCGGTGTTGTTGCGCTCTAACGCCGCGACCGCCGTCTAACAGGAACAGCCTTCGCATCGTGTGCCCGCGCGCTCTCAGACGACGTGTGTGCGTGAACGTTCCGCTCGTTCTGTTCGGCAATCTCGTGCTCTCGCCCAAGTCGTTTTATTACACTTTTTTGCCCCTGCATAATCGCTAAGTGTACTCAACAACTCTACTACTCAGTGCTGCCCTGGGCCTAAAAGTGAGTGGTGCTTTCAAATTCAGAAAATTCTGCGAGTGCGTGTCGCCAACCCTCTAAACTGTGCGCGCTCCAGAGTCAAGTGGATTACACCGCTCACCAGCTAGCTATACACACTGCCAGTAGCACCTTCTGCAGCTGCAGGAATTAACCTAAGCTGAAGATACAAGCACACGGCGCGTGCGAATCTTCTCGTATACGAGATCGGCTAATAATCTAGCTATATTTCATGGAAACGGGTCGTTTACGGCCCGAACCAGCGGGTTTACCAATCAGTCAAGCTGGAACTCATGGAATTAGAAAACATTGTTGCAAATACAGTTTATCTAAAGGCAAGAGAGGGTAAGTCTTGTATTTTATTCGCAATTATTTCAAGAAATATCAGATAAAAATATTCTAACCTTACTTTTTTAATTGTCTCTTCAAGACGGTAATTAAATTTTTCCCTGGATATAAAGCAAATTCAAACAAATTAGTACTTATATATTTATTGAAAAATATGGCACGTGTTAATGTGTCAATATCGGTTTTATTTCGAAAAGAAAGAAAAAAGTAATAGGTGGTTTTCATTATGATTACGACTTTCGATTGTTTGCTCCGGCAGGCGACTATAGACAACCCAAAGTACACGGTACTATTCTCGAACAACAAAACTCATTGTACTGCCTTTTCATTCATTCTTCGTTTCGGAACATTAGTAAAAATGCAAATTTTATCTGGCGTTCAATGTAGTTCGGGTAATGTAAATTTGGACGAAATGTATGTTCATGTTACGTACGTAAAGGCGTGCATTTGTCGTAGTATTCTTAATGTGTTTATTTAATTATGAGCGTTTTACGATAACAATTTATGTAATTATTTACAAATTACACGAATGTGCTTCTCACAGTATGATGCTCTCCAGGCCGACGCATACGCACGACGGTAATTTGCATCTGATATTATTTCTGTTTGTTTGCTTGCAGGTGGATCCGATAGTAATAAGGGAAAGAGTAAAAAATGGAGGAAGATCCTGCAATTTCCTCACATATCGCAATGCATTGAATTAAAGAACACATTAGGCAAGTATTGTTAGAAATATTATCTTCTTCTGTCGTTTCGATATAGAACAAAACAAAATAATTGATGTTATCGCTGAAATGGTGATGATAATCAATATGAATCCGCATTTTTCGCGATAAGATTGCGATGCGTTTCGGAACGCACCGGCGCTTAATTACCCACTTACGCCTAGATTAGATATAATACTGAAACGGTCGACTACTGGGTATATCAGTGTCGACGACGTTACACGCGATTATTATTAACTTGTTATTAACATAAGCACACCGTTTCATTCATTATTCGACGCGATTCACCGTCTCAGTATTGCAATTACGACGTTTTCTTAGCTGTATGTTCGCTTTCAATTAGCGTGCGTACATGCATGTTTAAAACAAACTTGCAATGCAAATAAATTCTCGTTGCGACGTGAAAAAAAAAAGTAAGAAATACACAAATGAGTGGTGCATATGCTAAGTTTCTGCAGGAGAGACGATTGTTTACGAAAATATTTATGAAAATGCAATAAAAACGAAGAATGTTTAGCGCGCGCAGACGAAACTGTATATACTTGGTCGTTAAGTCAAAATAAACTCTACAAATTGAGATATTGTGCATGTTGAACGTCTCGTCGAGTAATATGTTGCTAATCGATATGTTTCTGGTGGTGTTGTACGCCGAAATCGGTTTTATTTATAAAAAACGTCTGGTTTTTCGATTTCACTCACGCTGAATACTAATTTGCTTGTTATTATATTTGCAGATATAAGATACGAGTATGTTGTGGATCAACAACCAATAGGTAAATTGTTATTTAAACAATGGTGCGAATCGAAGTGCTCCGAATATAATCGCTGTTTAAAGTTCCTCGAAGCGACCGAACGCTATGAGGTCGAGACGGGCGAGGCGCGCGTGGAGTTGGCGGACGCGATTAAGAAGGAGTTCATGAGCGGGCCGAACGGCGAGGAGTGCCTTTCGTTTCCGGAGCTCGGGCTGCAGCTGTCCGCCAGCGACAAGCTGACCAACGGCCACAAGGACCTCTTCGCGCCGTGCGTGCAGGCGGTGAAGGCGTGCCTGGCGCACGAGCCCTTTCGGGAGTTCACGCGGAGTATGTACTTCCATCGATACCTGCAGTGGAAGTGGCTGGAGGCGCAGCCCGTCACGTACAAGACGTTCCGCATGTACCGCGTGTTGGGCAAGGGTGGCTTTGGCGAGGTGTGCGCCTGTCAGGTAATTACCATCATCCACTTTTATTCCCCGTGCGCAAGTTGTTGTTTTTCTTTTACCATTGGCGGATGCAAATAAGCGTTGTTTCGTAGATTTGTCGAAAAAAAAAAAACTCTAGATTGAAAAGTAATCACACTGGAATATTACATTTTGTTCGATGCGAAAAAAGGTAATTTTGCGTTGTTTGAGATTTTCACGTGATTGCGAAATTGTTATATGATTGGTATTATGTTTTTGGTATTTGACTTTCGCTATTTATTTTCTCAAAAAGCACTCGGGATTGAATCTCAATAAAAAAGTTGACATATTGAAAAATGGAACCGTGCAGGATTTGCTACTATTACAAGACAGAAAATGCGCGACCCTTGAAGGATTTCGACTGCTTCAAATTCCAAGTAGCTTTTATCATGTTTATGTATTCTCATATAATATTTTTTATGCCTTCTTTGAAACATAAATATGTTTGCAAGTGTCACGTTGAAAACAACTATGGAGGCATTGTTAGAGTAGCCTGCACAAAGTTTGTACGTGAGATGAAATTATGATTTATGCTACTTTCAGTTGTGTTTCCACCAATAGGAAGCGAGTACACCGGGCGGGGACACAATTGCGAAGCAAACCGCAGTTATATATACATATATTCACTATGTATGCATTAGCTATGCGGTCCTATGTCAGCCCATCTTTGCGCAGCATCAACCCCTTTGGTGCCTGACAAGGTTCTCAATTAATTCGATTAATTGAAGCATTAATCTTGCGTAGCATTATTACATGAATGTCAGTATACACGCTTATAAATAGGTATATTCCTTCCTGACAAGCAAATTTTGAGTTTTAGTCGTCCTAGTCCTCTAATAATGCGATTTATCAACACGTTGTCAGGTTTATCCTTTATTAACCGTCAATATAGGATGCTCTCTATTCTCTATTGTCTTTTATAATCGCATTATACACTTTATATCCGTTTGCAACATATTGTAATACCTACTTTATTTTTCCGCTCATGTCGGATGATATCACGCAGAAAGAAAAACTTTACAAAGGCATTGTTATGACATTCTCTGAATGCAATGCGTGATGGTTGGCAGGATAACTGCAAGCAATCTGACTTGCTTCTGTCGTGTTGAAAGAAAGCGCGGTTTTTACTCGCCCGATGATCGGCTACGGCGAACGAGAGTATCGATTTGGCATAAAAATCATGATAACGGGAAAACGGGGTATACACCAACGCCGAACAAAACTGAACGAAATGTAACACAAGGTTCGACGAAATTGCACGTTATTCTTTATTGCCAAAGGAGACGACAATAGAGTTGTAAAAGGAACGATTACAAAGCGCATGTGGAAAGCGATCTAAAACTTAATTAAATGTTTTTGTTAAATTACTCCTCATAATTGAAGAAACTAAAAGTAGTGAAAATTAAATTTGCTTTTATTGATTTTCAGTAATTGACTAATTTACAACGTATACTAAGATAGTATATGTTTTATTGGTAACTTTAGTGCACTTTGGAAACTAGACATCGAATCCAAAATGCGAAACTCGTCTAAAGTTATGCAACAAATCATTAGCGCTAACGAAATTAGCTATTCCATTAAAGAACATGCGGGGAGAATAATGAAGCCACAAGTCCTCGGAGAGGCTGGCCCCAGGAGGAAACTGATTATTAATTATTTGCAAGAAAGTTTTGATCATCAGTGCTAAAGTTTGCGTTTGCGTCCTTGTGGGTTGCCAACAATATGTAATTCGTTTGAACTTTAGTTAAATTTGTGGTTATTCCAACAAATATTTAATTCTTCTCGGCCTCTAGTTTCGTATACAATTGAAGTTTTAGACAGTATATTTGCATTTGCACTGCCGCATTTATCTTCCACTTCGGAAAACACGTCAAGAAGTGTACGTGAAATGTAAGCAACAAGTAAGTGGAAACGCCGGAACGATATGATTGCGATTGCACGTCAGATTTACTAGTCGCGTCGTCCTTTAACGAGGCTGACGTCGTGGACTGATAGGACTAACGATAAATCAATATTAGCGCTGGTGCAAACACGGAGAAACATCCATTGCGTTCTGATAATAATTTACGCCCGGCGGTTGGAACCAATGCTCGTGTAATGGATTATTTAATGTAATTATCTGATTATATAGCGGGCGAACCGAAATAGATGTTGGACCCATCAAAACCTAGAACATTATTTGATGTTTGGAACTCAATCTGATAATCATAATTTAAATTTTATATAAATGCACCCACATTAGGTAAATTTATTCTAAAGCTTTGCATTGAACTGAGGAGGGGTAACATAATTTAATTGACCTAAATAATTTGTTTGTATTCAGTTCCCTCGACTTGTAGCGTAGAAGGACGTGGCTTCGGCACACACCACATTGCGTTTCTGGGCAATAATAAATCGAATGAAAAGGAGCGAATGCGCACTACAGAACAAACGAGAAAACTTGGAAAATCTTAATTGAAACACACCAGCACCGCGCTATTAGCAGCTGAATCGAAAGCGCTCACACAATTCGCGCGTGTCGACGAAAGCACTTAAGTGTTACGGTTGCTTTTATGGACATATTTTCGCCGCCATCGGGAAGCCAGTGCAAGGGATTCGCAGGCAACAAGCTAACTTGCACACTAACGATATTTGTAAATATCTCGGTGGCGATAACAATAACAATGTGAAAATGAAAATAATGCAAATGCTTATTAAAGTGAAATTACCTTACCGACATCGTGAGCTGGATAAGTGTAATGAAGACAATGCACGAAATGTTTTTATTAGCCGTTATGTAATGGTATTATGTCGATGAACGAATTAGTTAGTTTCATTACAATATTATCGCCATTCTTCAGCGTATATCGAAATAACAACTTTTGCTTTTCTACTGTTGGTACACACGTAATGCTGATTACATTTACATACCACAAATGTAGGCTTTTAATTGACTTGGCAAAAAACGCATGAAAATCTAGTACTCGGATAAAAAGTGTCGGGGCAACTGGTATCAGTGCGTAGCATCTGAGTTACGAGCCATTCTTTAAGTGAATTTCTTGTCCTTTCTGCGTTCGCCTGTTTTAACCGTGGTCTAACTGCCCCCTAAAAGCACAAATGCGTGCGTTTATATTCCGAGCATGTTCTTTATCTCGTCCGGTCGCGCACCGACGGCGCGCGTCTTTCGCGTTTTCCGTTTTCGCCCAGCGGCGATTAACTCGGCATAGGATCGACAGAGCCTGTACTGAGGACCATAAAGGATAATTTAATTTGTCATTTTTTTGCTAGTAAAAGCTACACGAAAGCAAACAAAGAGCTTTTCGCAATATATTTACCATGTGCGCTATACATTTAAGCGATTGGTTATTTGAAATTAATTACATCTACTGCTACAACGTTGTTTTTCCAAGCATTCCAAACAAAAAGTAATTGAATACTTTATTTTTTTAGGTTCGAGCGACAGGAAAAATGTATGCATGCAAGAAATTGGAAAAGAAGCGAATTAAAAAACGAAAAGGCGAAGCGATGGTCCTCATTGAGAAACAGATCCTGCAAAGAATCAACTCTCGTTTCGTGGTGAACCTGGCGTACGCGTATGAAACAAAGGACGCGTTGTGTCTCGTCTTGACCATCATGAATGGCGGCGATCTCAAATTCCACATATACAATATGGGCGGAGAGCCAGGCTTGGACATCACTCGGTCGCGGTTTTACGCCGCCGAGGTCGTCTGTGGCTTAGACCACCTACACCAACAGGTACTAATACTCGCCTGTATTGTATCGCATCTGAATCGATCGCGCTACTTCAGATGCATTAGACCGGGATGTCACTGATGATGGGATGACGTTAATGTTTGTTTTCCTGCAGGGCATTGTTTACCGTGACTGTAAACCGGAGAACATTCTGCTCGATGATGCCGGGCACGTGCGGATATCCGATTTGGGTCTTGCTGTCGAAATACCCGAGGGTGAGACGGTGCGTGGTCGGGTCGGTACAGTTGGATACATGGGTAAGCTGCGTAAATTGAATTAATCGTCAGTTTATGTAGTAAATCATAATTTTTTGTCGTTGATATTTTAGCGCCGGAAGTGATTGACAACGAAAAATACACTTTTAGTCCAGACTGGTTTAGTTTTGGTTGTCTATTGTATGAGATGATTGAGGGTCAGGCTCCGTTTCGTGCGCGAAAGGAGAAAGTCAAACGTGAGGAGGTGGACCGCCGTGTGAAGAACGAACCGGAGAAGTACTCGTCCAAGTTTAGCGAGGAGGCCAAGTCGTTGTGTCAACAATTGCTAGCGAAATCGCCATCGCAGCGCCTAGGCGGTAAAGCAAGCCGCACGGGTGCTTTGCAAGTTAAGCAGCAGGCGTTCTTCCAATCGATACACTGGAGGCGGCTCGAAGCGGGCATGGTCGATCCGCCATTCGTTCCCGACGTAAGCAAAATTCACAAAGGACTACTCCTTTTCATATTGTCGTATTTTTTACTTTGTCCGTTACCATACAAAAGAAACAGTCTTTAGAAATGGTGGCAAAAAATTAAAACTAATTTCAAACTCTTTTATAGCCTCACGCCGTGTACGCGAAGGATGTACTCGACATTGAGCAGTTTTCGACTGTCAAGGGAGTCAACATCGACGAGTCGGACTCTTCGTTTTATAGTAAATTCAATACGGGCTGTGTTTCGATACCATGGCAGACGGAGATGCTCGAAACTGAATGCTTTCGGCAACTCAACGTCTACTATGGGCCAACGGGCGCAACGACTTCAGATTTGATCCTCGCACCGCCAACCACAAACGAGAAGCAAGGCTGTTTCCCGTTTCGTCGAAAGGTACCCATTTGTTCTTTTTCTTGGATAGTGTTTTGAGTAGTAATTTGACTGGCACTTCTTGAACTTGCAGAAAAAGTTAGCACCCAGAATGAGACCGATACCAATAAACCCCGGGCTACTGGAAAGCTGATGCATTTCAGAGCACAAGCATTGCGCCACCGGCACCCTACATTCTGTGTCATTTACGAAGAGTGTCATGTATCTGTCTTCCCCGAATCTCTCGCAATCATTCGACCATGACGGCATCGTGACGAAATCCATCTGTCTCTGAGCGCACCTGTAAATACGCCGACACGTATGAACAACTTGCCGCACGCGCCACACACACAACAGAATGTGTAACTAGCATGTAAAACTTACGCGCAGAAATTACATATTACGATATCATATGCAAGATAAGTGTAAAGCACAAGTTAAGGACAACACACACACAAACAAATACAGTGGATGGTTATATCAGTTCTTTAAAACTTAATTTATTCTTGGCACAAAAAGGAAACACTGATAACTTCTGACATGCAAAAACACTTAAAAGGCTGTAACTGAAGAGTACTGAAGTGTGGAACACAAAGAAAGCCATCCACATTATTTTTACTTCTACTTTCAAGTGGCAACAAGTAAATTAGAAGTTTTGAATATGATAGACAACATAATATACAAATCTGGCAAAAGTCCATTTTAGTATTAGGTGAATTAGAAATTAAATCATCAGAGGATTTAATAATCGATTTGCACATGAGACGTAGGGGAGCATCGTTTCTATGTTACGATATACGAATATTGTGTTTGAATCGGACGATATATATTATGCCATTAAACGCTTGACTGAATTTTACATAATGCTCAAAACGGAAAGGAAACAAAACATAAGTTAAGCTCAATTGTGTCTCAATATTAAGCACATACTTATATTTTTGCGAAATCAAATGGGTTGCTTCTGTTGGAATGTTGTTTACGTTAAATTATCAAATCGTTGTACATCGCACATATGATATCGTCCGAAGGTCAGCACCGCACGAGTATGATTGACGAGGTATCATGAAATTTGTACCTAGATGAATGATGTACAACCAACTGAGTTTTGTTTTTTTAAACACTGTTATCGAGTTGTATTTAAGTTTTATGATTGTGGGCATGATTTGGAATGGGAACAGAACGATTTTATGCACACTCAACTTGTAGACATTGAGGGATTCTTTGATTATTTGATGAACATACATAATTGTTATTTAATTTATTTCGTTTTTGATATGTTTTTGCTATTTCTGCAAAGGGTTATTTGCACGCGATTGCTGCCTACAAAAGAAAGGGTTATATCCCTTCAACAAACGGGACTAGAACTTCTTTATTTTAAATGAAGTTTTTTTTTTTATATAAAATGTAGGCGGTTCTAATGTTAGTTGACCCAAAAATAGAAATAATTCAGATTATAATTTAATTACTTTTGACTAGAAAGAATATTGTACGATAATATAATTTTCATCTACCTCTTTATAAATATATATGAAATATAAATATAGAATAACACATTAAATTAATGCTAAAGAACTATTGAAGTGAACAAGAAAATATATTAGTTATTTTTCCATTGCTTTACATTTCTTTTACCTTTATTTCGATTATATTTGTCGATGCACATATCAACCTATAGCACAAAAATGTAGGGCTTTTTTATTATGTTATTAACAATTATTTGGTTGATAAACAATAGATTTATTGTAATCATGGGCAGATTGACAAATAATATTTATGGTTTAATTTTTTGCGCTTGTTTATTACATTGAATGATATGACATTTAATTAATGATTAACTCTTGACACAAGCAGGAGGTTTTAATATGCTTATAATGCATTGCAATTTTGCATTTTTTACCTATTTTATAACTGTGATAAAATACTTTACGCATTTATATTTAATAGTTTTGAAATAATTGCCTGAACAAAAAGCATTAAAGACATGTTTTCATGTGTTTACACCAGCGAAATAATATTTTTGGGTCGTTTTCACAATATCCTGTTTTTTCCATTGAAAATCCAAGGCGATGCGAACATAAAACTCTTAGAAAATGATAAACAGGATTTTAGAAGCAACATATGTACTCATCAAAACAAATTGAGTTTATTCACTGATATTTGTTAGAATTTCATGCGATTGAATCATTGTCGTTATCATTATCAGCATTGATGAATACAAAATAGAGATAGTCCATTAGATGAGATGAGACCATTAATTAATGTGTACGTATTAAATTATAACAGGAAATTAACGGAATTTAGCGACACCATACTCATACCACATTATATCTTACCAAATAAAATATCAAGTAGTATTTTTTAAATTGTCATCAATTTACAATTTAAATTAGTCAAAGGGATTTGATGATAAATCTTCCTAACAAAGTACGCGTCTTGTTGATTGTCGTTTTTCCTCATTCCACTATCTCTCAGATTCATGTGTTTAATTAAGTATCTTGTAAGCTAAGCATTATCATATATAAGTATAGAATATTAAATTATGAACATAATAAAATAAAGATGAAACAAGTATGAAAAATTGCACACAAGATGTTTGTATTTTGATGGTTTCAAAGTTTGAATTTTTTTAAAGAAAGTTTTGAAATTGAAATAAGGTTTCCAGGTATATGTTCATCTTGAATAGAATTTTAATAAATGCCTCTTATTGTAAACAGTAATGATATCAAAGTATTGAAATTTTAATATGTATTGTTGAGTTACCCCACCATATGACTATGGCTGTACAATAGTAGCCCCCACCACTGTTGCAATATGTCTGTACAACAGTGCAGTAGAATAATAAGTTAGTATAGGTTAAGGTTAAGCTGCAGTCACAACACTTGCAGCATATATTTCTGTTTATTTTGCTATTTTTCTTTTTGTTTAACGATGTCATCCAAATTATCTAGTCTTATTTTATCAAAGAAACGTAACATTATTTATAGAAGCCGACAGTTTTTATCAAGAGCTTCAAATGATGACAACAATGTTCCAGCAATATCAAACATGAAGACTGCAGGAATAATTGGTAATCTTAAATGTGTATATGACTACAAGCAGATAATAATTAATTTTTACAGTTATTGGTGATGAAATCTTGAAGGGAGAGGTTCATGACACGAACTCGCACCATGCAATGAAAATATTTCACAAATTAGGGATCAAAGTTGAAAAGGTGATTTTTATAAGCAGCACAGTATTTGTTGAGGGTGAAATGAAATATATTGTCAGCTAATCTTTTTAGGTTTCTATAATAGGTGATGTAAAAAATGAGATTTCCCAAGAAGTAAAATTATTTTCTAAAACATATGACTATGTTTTGACAACTGGTGGAATTGGACCCACTCATGACGATGTTACATTTGATGGTAAATTTACCAAAATATAAACTGTTACAGATTGACTTAAGTGTTAATTTTTATAGCTATTGCAAATGCTTTCAACGTAAAGTTACACCCCAATCCTGAATTAGTGAAAATTTGCTCTAGATTTTACAAAACAGATGATGTAAATGCACCAGGCATGAAAATTGCATTTGTAAGTATTTGATTGTTTTTACTATATTGAATAATTCATGTTATTCAGATTCCTGAAACAGCAAAGCTTACATTTGGGAAAGAAGCTGCCAGGGGGGATAATTACCCTAATGTATCAATAAAAAATGTATATATCTTTCCGGGTATCCCTCAATTATTTAAAAAGTCACTGGATAGGTTGGCCAATGATTTATTTCAGAGTAAATCTAAGTTTTATTGCCACAAAATTTACTTAAACATTACTGAACAGTTTGTGGTTCAAGCTTTGGACAAACTTGTATCAAAATACCCTCAAGTTACATTTGGATCATATCCAAATTTAAACAAGTTAAGTCTCTCTTTGTTACTTTTTCTTGTTTCTGATTTTCTAATTTTTAGTGATAAATACAAGGTTAAACTTACAATAGAATCTACAAGTAAAACGATGACACAGAAAGCGGCATCAGAATTGTTGCAAAGCTTTGCAAAACATGAAATTGTGGAAACTGAGTTGACACATAGCAAGTTAAACTAACAAGAATAGGTAAATCTTTTACACAACTGTAAATTTTATATTCAATATATGAGTCAATCTTAAACCTAGTTGTAATTCATGTAAGAACTTTGTGTAGATCTTGACTACTTTCCGTCTTTTCTTCTAAACCGTAAACGTCAACTGCGCAATAGGTAGTTTAAATTATGTTTACTTCTGTCCTACTGAGCGCAATTCGGGAAAGTGTACGTTTAATTGTGTGCTTGCAATAAAGTTTAACGCAGAGTGATGAACTAAATTACTTCTCATATTATTTTGTTTTGTATTTGTTTGAGTAATTCTTCTTCAATTTTTAATTTAATTCAAGGAGGAGTGCATTGGGCAACCCAACTACACATGCTCTACTTGACACGCAGCAGTCGCGGTTTTAATTACTACTACGGGGTGATTGATTAACATGAAATTGTAAGTATTTAAATCCTTTGTCATTTTCATACATATCTCTTATGAGTAGTACAAGAAAAATTGCATATTTGAGTTTTGAAGCACCAAATTTATGTTTGTTTTAGTAAGCCAAATAGACTTTTGGACGGCCGCTCTTGCATCAGATTGTAAGTATTAAAATTCTTTATCAGTTTTACCCTTACCTTTTGATATTAACATCCTAAGCATAATGCATCATAATGCATATTTTTGTTTCGGGGCATTCAGTTTCATCTGAGCCCGACTTTGCAAATTAAGTTCATTTGCTTCATGTTGTGAGTATCAAAAGTCTATATCATTTTCAGAAATTAGTTATGTGCAATACCACGATTACTGACACGAGTTAAATTACGGTTACCGTTTTCTTGTTTATTTAAATAGTACTATATGCAGCTATCTCTCATCTTCGTTTGCGCATGTTTTCAATTCTCTCTCCAGTTTAGTCGGTCGTACGCTGTGTTGCGGTTTACACGTGTTTTGTTCGGCAGTTTATCTTCGAATTTTGTGTTTCTTGATGTTTTAATTGGGCAGTTCACGATTTATCGCGTGTGGAACTCAGAATTGAGTGCTTTCTTCAGTTCGCGAGTGTCGGCCACCGGCCGTCGGATATCTCCCAGTGACCACAAATACCTATTGGATTTATTTGTTTATTTATTAAATTCTTAATTCATGAAACTAATCAACGTTTGTTTTTCGTCAGACAACAAAAGGTGTTGCGTGTCCGCTGGTAATCAGTTAGCGTTTCGCACATAAGAATAACATGGATTTTAATTTTTATGGTTTTAGGTGTCTTGCGGGCGAACGCGATGTCGTAGGACAACCATTCTTTCACTAAATTATAGGTAATTAATTTCTCTATCGTTTTTGTATATAATTTGTGGGTTTATCCTTTGGTAACCCTTTGAAAATGCCCTTTTTGTGTTTTTTGATCCTCTAATTTTTGTGGTTTTAGGCGTCTTGCGGGCGAACGCGATGACCTAGGACAACCGTTCCTACACTAAATTGTAGGTATTAAAATTCTCTATCGTTTTTGTATTTAACTTCTGGGTTTATTTCTTGGGAAACATATGAAAATGTCCTTTTTGTGCTTTTTGATCCTTTAATTTTTGTGGTTTTAGGTGTCTAGCGGGCGAACGCGATGTCGTAGGACAACCGTTCTTACACTAAATTGTAGGTATTAAAATTCTCTATCGTTTTTGTGTATAATTTCTGGGTTTATCTCGTGGGAAACCTATGAAAATGCCCTTTTTGTGTTTTTTGATCACACCTACTGGCTTGACAAATACTGCGTAGGTAGTAAAAAAAAAACACAAACTATTTTTACAAAACTATTACTATTTATTTTTTTTTTATTATTTTTACTAGGTGTGCTCTAATGGTCGAAATAGCTATCCACATCAGGCTTGACAAATACTTGCATTGACTTGCAATGGTTTAGTAAAAATATCGTTTTGGCGATATTGTGAGGGTATAGCGTACAGTAAGTGTTTACTTAACTTTACTCAGCTTATACTCACCCTCTCGTACTACCTACCATTGTATTTGTATCTATTATTATTGTTGTCAATATAACACAATGTAAAATAATAATTTCATGCATATTTTTTTGTGGTATCCTCTTTGTCGTTTTCAGTATTGACGTCTTAAGTCATATTGCGTATAAATCTTATGCGCGTGGAGCGAGTGGAACATAGTTGACCTGTGTTGTTGTTTTTAAAAAGTTGAATAATGTAAAAACATAAATAGAAGAATCAAATATAAATAATGAAAATACTCGGTGGTCGAGTGGGTACGTGCACCTGCTAGCATGCTAGTAGGCACGGATCGAATCTCAGGTATAGGAGGCATTTTTCTCAAATATAAAAATATCAAGTGTAATTTGGGTTGCATATATGAATTGCAACGAAATATAAGAGAAATTGAAATACAAGTGAAGGCAGTAAGAAAGTAAGTGGAGAAACGAGAACAGAGAAATAGAGGAATGAGTAGTAGAAAGAATAGGAGAAGACAGAAGGAAGAGAACAGAGAGTAGAGTAGAGAAGAGGAGGAGATAGAAGAGCCACAGGAGTGGATCGATCAGATTTTTAAATTTTTTGGCACGTGTCGTTATAAGACAGTCATAGGTCGATCTCCCAGAGCGCCTCCGGCGCTCTGGTCGATCGCCCACTGCTTCGATGCCTCCATTGCTCCCGGCCCAACCTACAGCTACGATGTCTCTGCGCTTCATCCCCGAAATTATCAGGCATATCAACAATTTTTATGGTGGGGGATCATCCCCAGAGAGAGGGAACTCCTTATAAGGACATCCTTTTAAGAACTTATAAAAATATTTCTAATTTTTAAGTCGCCTCACGAGAGGTGACACTTAAAAATATTCTTGCAAGTTCTGACCTGTAGCTGAAATGAAAGAAGGAGCACACAAATCACACAGGATACCTTAACAATTTTTATAGTGGGGATCATCCCCCGAGTGGGAGAACTCCTTATAAGAATTTGTAGAGATATTTCTAAGTGTCGACGCTCTCAGGACCGACCACAACACTAAGAAATACTTTACAAGTTGTAACCTGTACCTGAAATGATGGAAGGAAGGGGTGCACAAGTCATAAGACACAGCCATTGCTTTTAACATTTCTTTATTAACAAACTAAATACAATATAACTTCCGAATTTGCAATTTCAATACCTACAAAACACGTGACGTCATTTTAAAACATGTTTATCATCTGCGTAGCGGCCATATGCATGGCTATCAAATTACAAAACACTAGAAAATAGTAAATTGCGCCCTGTTTTCGCATGACATCAGTGGAAAATTATATACAGGGTGTTACCAAAAGAAAATCTTCAATTAAAAAAGAAAATCACCCCAAAACAATAAAGATTGTTAATTTTTGGCTGGACATAAAGGAAAATTTACATACAGAGTGTTGTCAAAAGAAAATCTTCACTTGAAAAAGAAAATCGCCCCAAAACAATATAATTATGCTCATTTTTCGCAGAGCATTAAGAAAAAATTATATACAGGGTGATACAAAATTAAAATTGAATGTTTTATTACCTGTTTTCTACTGTTTACCTAGGGGAGGTGAGTAAGTACGGGAATAAAAACATAATAAATAATACAATTGCTAATAATTATAAATGTATTAAACACATTTTAAAGAAATATAAAATTCAGATCTCTTAAACACACAAATTAGCACAGACAGAATTATGAATACAAAAGCAAAAAGAAGGCACGAAAAAGTCCCGAATGAGAGCGAATGGGCAGCCGACGGAACACGACAATATTCCAATACTTGTATTCCAAAGGTTAATATATGCAACCATGTGACGACTATGCAATGTATTAAAGTGTTAACTAATTTTTCTGATCGTTTTTCCTTATAAGGTTGGTAATTGTAATAGAATATAGTTTTTATGTTACATACTTTTTTACGTTTTTGCAGATGAAATATTCCATACGATGCACAAATGATGTTTATTCAAATTAATAATTAAATGAATACACGAAACAAGCCTGAGTATTTCTTAGCCGATGGAAGATATCCGACGGCCGACGGAAAACACGTGGTGCGTACGTTGTAAAACCATGAAATTCTTGGTTCCACGCGCAATAACTCATTAACTATAGGCCGCACTTGTCTGTTAATTCTATCTTATCTTATTCTATCTTATCTTTGGTGACTGATTATAATTCAACTACCGACTTAAAATCACAAGAAACGCGATAAGTCGCCATGAAGACCGCCGCGCAAGTAAACGCGTACACACCACGCCGTAGCGCAATAAAAACAAGTTGTTTGTGCACTAACACCGATAAGAGCCAATAGTGCAAACTACGAATATAAACTATTCATGTTGTGGATACAGTTCAATACAATGGAAAGATTTTATATTCTGAACGTACTCTCGTATTCACATAAACAATGTATCCTACAATCCGGAATTGAATGCAGTCTATATGAAAAGGCAGTTTAGGACATAATCGCAATTGAAAAATCTGGGAACAACAAGGCAAATCTCTTATCTTAGCTCCTTTAGCAACTATTTTTGAACTTTTACTTCACGCAATTAATATATTTCATTATCCTGTTCTATAATGAATTTTTAGAACTTTTATAATTTTCAATTACGGGACGATGGTGACGTTAAAAGTCACTCCCTTTCAAGGCATCGTACAAGGGTAGCGGTAGAAATGACTCGTGTTCAGGGCACCGTATGAAAAAATTTCAATATAATGCGCGTTACGGAATTTTCTCGCAATAAATTTCAATACAGGGAGATGCAGAATTAAATTCTGCATCTGGAAAAATTATTCTGAACTTACTTTGACAGCGCGTTTGCGCGTGATACTAAGAAAACTACAATTCCTAGCGCAACGAGTACTACGGCGCACCCACACAACTTTCAATATAACTCGAGTTACGGAATTTTCTCGCAATAAATCTCTATACAGGTGGATACAGAAATAAATTTACCATCTAGGAAAATTATTTCGAACTAATTGTAACACCGCGTCCGCGTGTTATATCAAAAAACTACAATTCCTAGCGCAACGAGTACTACGGCGCACACACACAACTTTTAATATAACACGCGTTACGGAATTTTCTCGCAATAAATTTCTATACAGGGAGATACAGAAATAAATTTACCATCTAGGAAAATTATTTCGAACTAATTGTAACACCGCGTTCACGTGTTATAACAAAAAAACTACAATTCCTAGCGCAACGAGTAGTGGGAACGAATACGGAGCCGACGGAACGCGATAATATTGCAACATTTGCTTTACAATGACGATGTGACGACAAATCCTACTTACTTTCAGAGTGTTTACTTATTTCACTGATCGCTTTCTCATACCAGATTTTGAATCCATATTTGGTTGTTTAATTTGTCGATAATGTTAATAGAAATAGTATTTATGTTATACACTTTCTTACGTTTTCGCGGATAAAATATTCCACACGGGGCACGAAAGATTTAGATTTAAATCAACTATTAAATGAATACACAAAACAAAACCACTAAGAATTTTTAGCCGACGAAAGATATCCGACAACCGACGGAAGATATCCGACAGACGACAGCAAACATGTATCTTGTAAAACCATGCTAACTTATATAGTTAACTCAGTAACTATGCGCGCTACTTGTCTGCTAATTCAAAACTTTATCTTTGCTAACCGATTCTAATTCGACTACAGATTTAAAATTACAAGAAACGCGATAAGTCGCCACGAAGACCGTCACGCAAGTAAACGCGTGCACACCACGCCGCAGGGCACGATCGACTAAGTAAGAAATAGCACAAACAATGCTGAGCTCGCCGGACGCGCTGCAACGCGATAAAAACAAGTTGTTTGTACACAATCACCGATAAGAGTCAAAGGTGAGAAATATGAACAATGCATGTTGTGGATACAGTCTTATGCAATGAAAAGATTTGATAATACGTACTTTCTTAATCGTATAAGCAATCTATCCTCAAATCCAGAATTCCCGAATTCCAGAATCCTCTTAGCACTTATAGGTACTATTTTTGAAATATTAAATATTATAATAATATATTTTATTATCTTGTTCTATACAGAATTTTCGGAAATTATATAATCTTCAACGTTACGATGCTAGCGGTAAAAGTGACTCCCATTCGGAGCACCGTACGAGGGTGCCGGTAAAAGTGAAGTGACTCGTATTCAGGGTACCGTACAAGGGATACAGTAAAAGTCACCCCCATTCAACTCTTGCGCTAATAGAATCCGAAGAAATAATTTAAATGTCAAGAAGGGTTCCCAAAATATGACCCGTTTTCCACCGAATGTTTTGATAAATTCACAAAAACGATAAACTTTGGCGACCAATTTGAGGCAGTTGCTCTTGACTTGTAATTATGTTTTACTAGTATTGAATGCACAATTATTCAATAGCAAATTTTTATTATTTAACCATTCTCCTTTTACGTTTTGAGGCAAAACTTTAAATAAAAATTAATTGTAAATTTCACTCCACCCGTTCCGAATCGATGACGATCATGCAATTTGAAAAGCGCAAATATGAATATGTGATAAATTACTTTAGAAAACCGTGTGTCGGATAATGAATCTGCCTTACAAACCGTATTGCCGTATTCAATGCCACCATGCTACTTACGTGCTTATCACACTTTGGACGCGTTGATCCCACATTTCTACTTTAAAAATTTTCCAAGAAGTATAATCCCGAAATGAGGTCTGCCCCTGTTAGGTTCTGCATGTTTATATTAAGAGTTGTAGCCACCACACAAGTTTTATAAACGATTCACCCGAACGCATACTTTGCAAAACACTCACATGCTGCAATTAGTCGATATCAAATTGAAAGAAACGTGGCACACTGCATGCTGACACAATAGAACTGAGAACTGAGAACGCAGTGTGCAGCGTGTAACGTGGGCGCATCGAGCGACCAGCCAACAGGTTAAAAAAAGTTGTTTATAGACAACTTATGATAAGCGCCACGACCGAATACAAATACAATACTGCATAGTTGTGGATGCACCTCAACTTTTTATTTATATTGTACCCAACGTTAGTAAAAAAACATAAGTTATACATTACCCTAGAAGGTAAAGACTTACAACTAAAATTGACTGTATTTCACTTAGGATCTACTATTTGAAACATATAAAATTGATCAGTACATAGTTGCACTTCTACATATACATTAATATTGTTTTAATATTGTGTCTTCAAAACTAAAATTTTGCTATAAACATATATGTACAGACAGGCAAGTAAAATTTACAATTCATCTCAATCATAATTGACCGAAAATTTCCTCAAATGGGTCGAAATATTAACTTTGGTTCATTCCAGCTATCACAAAAACAAAAATAAAAAAAGCAAAATAACTAGACAATACTTTTTAAAAAGTACATTCACTACCTAATCAGGTTTTTTACAATCCTGAGCAATATGTTCACTTCGAATTAAGTTATGTAAGTGTAAAAAAATATACAGTTCGTTAAACACTACGTATTTTGCCCTAAAACTTATCGCGAGCACTATTTACATATGTTACAGTCTTATAGAAACGTTGATATGTCTTTAAATTTAAATTCGGGGAATGAGATCGCTAAAATTAGACCGCTACAATTTTACTCGGGTCAACTTTAACCCGAATGAACAATGTGTCGTCTTTCATGAAGTGCCTTTTGCGTAGCATTTCATGCGATACGAAACGTGGAAACCCAAAACCTAGCGAGTCGGGTTCCTTGCTCGGTCGCTGAAAGTTTTTCCAGGTGGGATCCGGAATGAAACTCTCGACGATATTGCATGCCTTATCCGGGCATGTCGATTGGTCAAAAATGGTAAATGAGACAGAGTGGGCGAATGGCCAACGTAGAAGCGCATCGTATTCGCCGGGCAGAATTTTGATGTAAACCGAAATGTGACTGTCTTCGCCTGCACCGTTTCCATTGGGAAAAAGTGACGCCTAAGAAAAAAGAAAGAAGCAAAAAATAAATATTGCGGTTAGATAAAAACAAAAACTGTTAACTTACTTGCAACTTATATCCATATTGACTAGTGTAGAATGGTGGCGACACTAATTCCATACCCTCTTTGCTACGAGCCTCGCTCATTTTGGCAGAAAAATCGCTTATTTTCCATATTAGTGTCCCCGAATAATTTAAACTGAGGCGTGAAATTGCGCTCTTCAACGAAGTAATTTGATGCTGCTGTTTTGTTACCATACAGCACATCATAGAAAGATGTTCTTGACAGTTTTCTGCGAGGTGTTTCTCCATTGAATATCGTGGTCCCTTAAAACGACAACCAGCGTCCTTGAAACTGCAGTGCAATGTCGAAATGGTGCACTTTTCTTTCAAGTGCGCTTCCAGCTCTTCACGTGCCAGCACTGTGGAGTCGCACCGATTGGGACACGCCACAGGAACGCGTCCACACTTAACGTGGTGAGCTGTGAGAGTGTCTGCCACAAACTCCTTGCTGCAATATCGACAAGGCAGCAGACGCTTTGCACACTCGGACGTCTTGTGTTGATTGAGATGTCTACGTTGAACCTTCAACCCGCACTTGTTCTCGCAGTACATTGGTTCAAAACTACAGCTACCAATGTGATTCTGTAGAAACAAAATCAAAAATTTCACATAAATATCCAACACACATGATGATGATGATGCGAGAAATCCAAACTTACTTCCAATGTGTGGCCTGTGAAATCCTTGTTACAAAATTCGCATCTGGCGCGACGTTGTGGACACGTGTATTTCAGATGATCCTCCATAAGCACCCGGGGTATCTGCGCGCCACACTTACTTGTGCATGGAATGGCGTCGTGCTTACATGTATTAAGATGTCCCTGCAGAAAAAAATTAACTTTATTCGCTGCTCACACGAAGACACGTCTGGTTTTTTCGAACGGTTAGTGTGCACTAACATCATCATCAACAAACAAAACACTCTAGTGGAGAACACGGAACACACGCCCGGCGAGCAGTTCGAGAGCGCACTAACGCAAGAACGATATAATGTTTTGCGAGCAATTAACTCCACGGTTCACGGTGCGTTTCGCTCCATACGCGACGCGCGCGCGTCTGGAACACTGCCAGCAAACTGTTCCAATGGTTGAGCTTAAAAAACAAAATGATAATTGCGGCAATTGCTTCAGTTTGTTGCTCGGGGCAACAAACGGATGCAACTCACAAGCAGGTATCGTTCGTATCTATTTGTTTCTATTACCGCTGGCAATGTATGCCAAATTACGCGAGTGCACTGTTTTGTTTAATGCTCGCGGGTGCAAAACGTAAGAAATAACACGTACCTTCAGCTTCCTGAGCTCGTCGGACCATTTGCAGCCTTCCTTGTGATGAATGCAGTAGACCACTGAGCTCATGATAGCCTTCTCCGACTCTGGATCCGGGTAGATCTGAAGATAACAATGAGAAAACACTCAATTAGCAAACTTGCATTATATTTTACACTTATCACAGCTTGTGAATGCATTGTTAAGAATGGAGTGTAAAATGTAACGTGAAACAGTACGGAAGTATCACAGGTGCTTAGCGTGCAACTTAACTATGTGTCAAGTAAAACACACGGAAACTGTTAGTCACATCGCACGCTCTCAAAGATTATACGAACGCATGGGAAAATGCTGAGGAATTTTCCCATCTTTGTGGCTCACATTCCAAGCAAGATCAAAATTGATATCCACACGGCACCACTATTTAAAACAGTATCGTATATTGTGCATATGCATTAGAAGCAAAAAACGGTAAATATAATGCACTAGGTATCCCTTGGGACTTCGTACGCAATGGTGTAGGACGTTTGCCCTGGTAACTCTAATTTCACCTACTTAACACTAGTACAAAGGAACACGCAGTTGGCGTACCTTCCCCCACTCTTTTTTACTGGTCGGGCGCATTAAGAAAAGGGCAGCCCGCGGTGAACACAAAACTCATTCGCATCTGAGTAGTCTGCCTTTTGGTCTTTAGTTGAGGTCGTGCATAGGTTCCAAATGAATATTTTACAGGCTGCCAACAAAGGCCTAGCAATGAGTTTGTCAGAACCATGTTTGCCTACAAGGGTGGTCCCAAATTCGTAATGCTTAAGACGAACCAGCATCACTAGCTGCGCCGACAGCGACTGTTAAAACGGATGGTCGTTATATTCCTCGCCTTCCGAACATCGGATATTTACACAAAGCCGGCAAAAATGTGCGGCGTTGTGTTAGTGTCTATCGAACAAGATTGACACATTTGAAACTTCGTCAGTTATTGTTAGATGGAAGGTTATTTACAACATGTTTTCGGCCCCACTGCAAGCTATTCATCTTTAAAATGTATTGAGTGCGGGATGGGTTTGTCGGGTGTCAAATTTTCCGTCCAAAAATTAGAAAGAAAAGTATTTTCTTTGTACATATTATGTTTATGTTCACCAGATGTGCACACGACTCATAATTTCAAATCATTAAATGAAAATATCAAATTAATAAAACGCGATAAAAACCACAGATAAGAAAATTAATATTCCCCAAAGCGTGCTTCAAAACAACACAATTATTGTATAAACCGCGTCGACGCCCAGGTTAATTGACTTCAATTAATCCTACGCCGTTTGCGTATAATTGGATAAAATTTTATAATTGAGAAAACACTAATTAGAAAGTAACACGTCTAAGTTGGTCGCAGCGGCCATTTGCCTTTACAAACGCGATCAAACCGTGTTGAGTGATTCTTTTAATAATCACTTTGAAACGATGTAATCAAAACGCAACGCACGCATGACAAACTATAATATTTAACACGTTATAAACAATATTTTTGTCATTTAATTAGGTTTATGCTTCTACGTTCATGTGTCAACTGGTTCTTGGCATTTCTTTCACGGATTATTACCTCACATATCGCCACATTAGTCATCGAACGTTTCTCTGTAATTTAGCAAGTGCGGTCATTAGATGATGACGCAACCTTTACGACAATTGAGAAATGTGAGGAAGACGATTCTTACATTTTGTCGAGTAGCAATTCGAGTCGGAATCAACAACTTGAAACGAGTTCATATCGACATGATTACAAATGGTTGAACACATCACGCGTTTCCGGTGGCAACAAACAATATATCATCACAATTCATAATAAAATACGAGCTTACAATATTCTGCGATTCGCCAGAACCAACGATCGATAATTCCAATGATTTCAATCACCGAGACATTTTATAATGTACGCACATTTCAAATAGGAAGAAGGCGTTCTTGGAACCCTTTTCAATTTCCTTGTAGCGTCGATTAACTCAATTATTTCCAATCTTCACACACCGCGGCGTAAATTGTGCAGTAGTTGGCGTTAAAATAATTCCGAACGGGTCAGAAAAGTTGACTTGATCTCATTTAGTCTTTTCTAGAGTAGATTTTTGTGTCGTTCCCTTTTAGACGACAACAAGTTCTCTGTTGAGTTAAATTATTATAATCGTCCGACATAAATGCAAACGATGATCGCTGAATCCAACGGAAGGTAGGTAGCTATGATAATTATGTTTATTTTGCTAACCGATTCGCACTTCTCATCAGCCTCTGCTTCTAAATAAATGCGGAATAAAACAGTCACATATATATGCGTGTACATAAATAGAGCATTGTGTTTGATTTCGTTCGCTTTTGAAAACAAATCAATTTCTAATAAATATTTATGAACAACTAACGGTTTCACACCGACAGCTTTTCTGCACATGAGATACCGTCAAACTAGCAATGAACAAGGTGCAAAAATCGCGAAAGTAGTGCTGGTGATAAATAATAATTGTAAAGCCATCATGTTCGGCGGTGACAACAAAATATATAAGAAAGTTTTACTGTTAGAAACATACAACGATAAAACATTCACTAAAAGTGGAGATTATCGTGACATTCTCACAGAAATCCCGTCGGCATATTTAAGCGTAACAATATTCAATTTCTCAAATTAGTCAACAACTGGTTTGACGAAGTGTTTCTCGTCATAAAATCCACCCTTAGAAACCTGTCCTTTATCATCAATTTGTTTTGCTTCTATTTTCGCTTGAAAACCCCATGTTTTACTTGAACTACCTGTATTTCTATCTTTATCCATTACACTGTAATTGTCGTTAAATTAGGGTGCGCCCAAAAGGGGGTCTTTGATCCTTCTACTTATAACGCGTGTTCATAAAATGAACATTAGAAAAACGAACAATTGCCAGGTTTGGACAGCAATTTACCAGCTCATATTGTGTTGGAGTTGGACACTCACTCTCTCACATCTTCAAATTGAGGGTTACATGTCGAAATTACAAAAATACATAAGTACGCAGTATGAAACAAAAACGAAGCATGAAAAACCCACACGAAATACACAACACTCGGGTAAATTAGAAACAACAATCCATCATGCGCCAAGATCATGAAGCTGAAGTCGGGTCGATTAGAGCGCAAGAGATCAACAACGACGGAGTGGCTTATAACGCGAAGTTAATTATTAACAACATGTGGCATTAAAAATAGTGTGTAGGATGGCTTACGACTCAAAATCACATGTTATTCAAGAAAATTTAAAAATACCAAGCTGTAGCAACACTAGAAACGTATTGATTGCCAATATGTAAAGGGGATTTTGAATTAAGAATACAGCACACAGAATTAAATTATAATGTAAAATCCAGCCGTTTCTTATATATCTATGTAACAGACATGTAGCAATCGAACGGAGTCTGGAGAAAAATAAAATAACGCCTACCACAATCTCAGAGAATTACCATAAAATTTAAACGAACGGTGGAAAACAAACGCAAGTTAAGTTATAAGATCAGTTATAATTTAATAGCTAATATTATCGCAATGTTTTCTACGAGTTTCTTCAATGAAGCGTGCAGGTTCGCTCAAGTTAGACGCCAGAGGGCAACGTAAGCGTTTCTCATAATGGATTTGCCACTTTCCATCAGTGTGCACTGTACAAATTGAGTAAAACAACGGTTAGAAAATGGTAGGTTCAAACCGAATCGAGTGAAATGTAGAGGAAAATGTAAGAATAGAACAACGTAATGGATATAAAAGCAATGCGAAACGGGTACGCCAACCAGAATTACGAGACCGAGCGGATGTTGGTAACATGGTAACAACTTCAAACGTGCATCAGCCATCAACTGGTAACAGCACCTGCCTTCGAGTGATATGTTTCTTAATAGCACACACAGAGTTTTTGTCCTGCAGAACATATGATTTGATTTAAGATATCTGCTTTCGGCATATCCGTTTTGTATAAATAATTATTATTAATTCATAAAATGACCTAAGTTATTTACATTTACGTTAAACTTTTTTTAATGTCGCCTTGAAGTCTAGCAAGTTTTCTTTGAGTTCCCACACTTATGCCAGACATGCGCAAGCCTATCAGGTTCTTCTAATAAACGGCAGTAATTTAATTTATTTTCGCGATGAGTAAGCAAGTTGTAATATGACTCCTTCGCATCGCGCCTTATGCTCTTTATAATCAGCAAGATGACTACAAGCTGCCTATGAAAACCGTGCGACCTGATCAAATCTCTTGACTCACCTCATTGAATGACGAATGTGAATCAATGTTGTTGTTATTCACGTTGTTGTTCATTATAACATTGATCTCGTTATTCTTCTGTATTGTCGAATGTGGTGACAACGAATTAGTACTAGGTGTTGGAGTAACAGTCGGAGATGAAGCAATATTATCCTTGCTGCTCTTGTTTGGCGAAATCCTCGCCGGAAAACTCAAAGTTTTCGTCCACTGTGCCAAACTACGAACCATTTTCGCGAAATGTTATTCTTAATCCAGATTAGAAGCACTGAACAATAACCGTTTGAAATCAAACTAAAGTTTTTGATGTAATTATAAATTGCTACACATTGACCGGTAATTGTAGAATTGTTAAAAGAGTAAGTTTAGCTAGCGAATTTGCGGTGCCGGAACATAGACTTAGAATGTGAACGACGTCGCACTTCGAGTGTTTCTGAGCAACTGGCAGTCAGCCGCGCGAGCCCCCCGCATTATAATAAAGTAGTGGAAAGAATCCGGCAAGCTGTTCCCATTCAGTGATTCCTACCAGCACCGCATGGCATCGAGCTGTTCGTAATCCGCAAGTTGCGCTCGAGTGCATCAGACAAAGATAAAGAAGGCAACATGGTTGCTGTATGTTGCCGTGAAACGGCCTTTCTGCGTCCTTTACCCTCTCCAGCACCAGAGAACCACAGCAGATCAAACATGTTCTTGTAGCGTGGACGATGACTGAAGAGCTGGGGCCTCAAGCACTAGTGTAAACACTAACAGCTGTTTCTGGCTTTCAAATGTTGAAATTACGGTTTTGTTTGGGAGTTGACTCGAAAAAAGAGCGAATGAAACTAGAGATGAACTGATAATATTGGTATTGATATCA